CTACACTAAAATATTCCCATTAACAACACCCCAACTACACTAAAATACTATCATTAACACCCAAACTACCCTAAAATATTCTCATTAACAACACTCAAACTACCCTAAATATTTTCATTAACACCCAAACTACCTTAAAATATTCTCATTAACAACACCCCAACCATACTAAAATATTCTTATCAAAACCACACAAACTACCTTAAAATATTCTCATTAACAGCACCCCAACCACCGTAAAATATTCTCATTATCCCCTGAACTTTCCTCGTTGTTCCACCAGATCCACCTCCCGGGGCGGTGTGACAGCTCCTCGAGAGATCCCAACTCAAAACCAGCCAAAAAAACCCGGGAATTCCCGAGCCTGGAAGGAAAAGGGCACCTCACCTGTGGGGTCCTCATGGGGCTGCAGGGAAGAGGTTTCCTGGGAGGCGGGAGCTTGGCCTGGGAGCCGCCGGCTTTGGAAGGGCCCGGGGGTGACCTGGTGACCACTGAGTGTGACCTGGTGACCACTGAGTGTGACCTGGTGACCGGCGGGGGTGGCCTGGCGGGTTTGGGGTCTCTGGGCCGCGGGGGGACGGAATTCGGGGCCGGGCGCAGAGGGTGGACCACGTTGACGGGCTGAGAGCCGGGGTGGTGAGCGCAGGATTTGGGCAGGAACGCGGCCCGGGTCACCTGCCGGGGTGGGAAAAGTGGGAGAAAAATCCTTAGGGATGTTTTCCCTGGAACGGGTGTCCTGCTGAGGAGCTTCTTGGGGTTTTTATTCCGCTTTTACCCCTCGTTTTTACCATCCTGCCCCAAAACTGGACGTGTTTTATGGCTGGACTCTATCCCAGAGCTCTTTGCCAACCTCAGTGATCCTGAGATTCCATGTTTGCTCCTCACTAACCACGTGAGAGTACACAGGGATATTCTTCCTAAATTCTTCCTAAACTCCTCCTAAATTCTTCCTAAAGTCTTTCTAAATTCTCCCTAAATTCTTCTTAAATTCCTCCTCAATTCTTCCTAACATCTTCCTAAATTCTCTGTAATTTCTTCCTAAATTCTTCCTAAATGTCTCCAAAATTCTCCCTAAATTCTTTCTAAATTCCTCCTAACATCTTCCTAAATTCTCTGTAATTTCTTCCTAAATTCTTCCTAAATGTCTCCAAAATTCTCCCTAAATTCTTCCTAAATTCCTCCTAAACTCTTCCGAAATTCCTCATAAACTCTTCCTAAATTCCTCCTGAATTCTTCCTATTTTCGCCCTAAATTCCTCCTAAATTCTTCATAAATTCTCTCTTTCTTCATAAATTCTTCCTAAATTCCTCCTAAATTCTTCCTAAATTTTAACTCCACTTTATTGATGATTTATCACTTTATTGATGATTTATCACTTACTTTATTGATGAGTTATCACTTATTTTATTGATGATTTATCACTTTATTGTTGATTTATCACTTTTTTATAAGTTATCGCTTATTTTATTGATGATTTATCGCTTTATTGACAATTTATCACTTACTTTAATGATAAGTTATCACTTACTGATGATTTATCATTTACTTTATTGATGATTTATCACTTAATGATAAGTTATCACTTATTTTATTGATGATTTATCACTTCTTACTTTATTGATCATTTATCATTTATTTTATTGATGATTTATCACTTTATTGACCATTTATCACTTATTGATGATTTATCACTTTATTGACCATTTATCACTTATTTTATTGATAAGTTATCACTTATTTTATTGATGATTTATCACTTTACTGATAATTTATCACTTTATTTATAAGTTATCGCTTATTTTATTGATGATTTATTACCTTATTGATAAGCTATCACTTATTTTACTGATGATTTATCACTTTATTGATGATTTATCACTTACTTTAATGGTAAATTATCACTTATTGATGATTCATCACTTCTTACTTTATTGATAATTTATCACTTTATTGATAAATTATCATTTTATTGATGATTTATCATTTATTTTATTGATGATTCATCACTTTATTGATAAGCTATCACTTATTTTATGTATGATTTATCACTTTATTGATGATCTGTCACTTTATTGATGATTTATCACTTACTTTATTGATGAGTTATCACTTATCAATAGAGTAAGTTATCACTTTATTGATGAGTTATCACTTTATTGATGAGTTATCACTTACTTTATCGTTGTGGCTGGAGGTGGAAATGTTCCTCAAGGTGAAGGCAGCTTTGGGGTGGCCACTGCTCGACTTCCGACCGACGGATTTGTTCCTGCTGGGAATTCCAAAGTCAATCACGGATGGCAACATAAAGCAACCACTTTAGGAACAGTTGCCTCCCGAAATTCTGCCCCTCAGGGAGGTCCTGTCTCAATTAACAGCTCATTAATGGCACTGCTGGGTGAGTCTGTCTCAAGGCAATGGGGGGTTGGTTGGTTTTGGGGTTTCCTCTTGAATTATTTTCGGGGCTCTGA